TAGTCTAGAAGCCCAAGATGCCAGACACCCGGCCTCTTCCGCGGCCATTTGGTTCGGACAGGGACTTCGGCCCCTTTGAGGCGTTGCGCGCGTGATCGAGCCGATGCCTGGACAAGAGATCCCAAGAGCTCACGCTTCGACCGCCGCTCCACCAGATTTGGCAGACGCGCGTTATCTCGCCGCCGCCCCGCAGCAGCCCTTCCCGACGCTGCTGGGTCCCAAGCATTCCCGCCTACGGCCGCCCTTGACCTGCCCCTTAAAGAGTGCGCGTAGATTCCTGCGCATCTTCTTTTTGTCCACTCACGCGGGCGATGAGCCTGCCGTCGCAAGCTCAAACCCACTGGTCGCGACCATCAGGACCATTGAAAAAGGATGAGTGAGCATGTTCGTTGGGATCTCGTGAGAAGCCTCTCGGGGGCCTGCCCGAGGTTTGATAGAGCGATAGACAACATAAAAAATCCAGGGGGGCGGGCTCAAGGTTCGTCTTAGGCTTCGGCTCAAGGTTAGCCTGAAAGTGGGAGGGGGGGGGGGGGGGGGGGGCCAAGGGCGCCCCCCCTCACCACCCCCCCCCTGCGGCGCACGAAAGAGAGGGAGAGGGGGGGGCCGAAAGGGGGGGGCTCCCCACCCCCCCCCTCGGCGCCGGAGTTGTGGGGATGTCTCCAGCGGAGGCGCTGGAGTTGCGAGGATGTTTCGAGGGGGAGCGACACTGAACCAAAAAACGCTCAACCATCGCACGGCTTCCCCCCCTTCTCCATCGAAGGGGGGCCGTCAGAGAGGCATTTCCTTCTTCCGCTTGGCATTTTCCCTCGTCGCCCCCGGCGCTTTCAGGAGGGGGGGGCCCGCCCAGATGCACAAAAATGCTACCCTCCCCTCCGCGGCCGTGGCATTCCCCTTCGTATTTGGCGCGCGAGGCAGGGGGGGGCTGCGGCGCCTCTGTCGCGCGCCCTGCCCTAGATTGCTCGCGCGCTCTGCCATGGATTGCCCGCGCCATGCCATGTACTCCGAGTGGGATCATAATCGCCCCCCTCCTCGGGTCGAGGGGGGGGACGGGCGCGCGCCGTCGGAACGGGATCGGGGTTGCGCTCCGTTGAGGAGAAGGGGGGTGGGGAATGTTGAGAAGCTCCGTCGGAAAGGTTAGTTCGCCCCCCCCCCCCCCCCCCCCCCCCCCCCCCTCTGCGATTATTACGCCATCCAGAGTCTGTGTCCACATTCGGCGCCTTGTTGTGCCCTGCCGATGCAGCGCTGCAGTTGTGGACGCATCTTATTATTTCTTCTCCCTCCCACGGCGCCGGCGCAGGAGGGCGCCACCCCACCGTGCAGGAGGAGGATGAGGAGGAGGAGGAAGAGGAGGAGGAGGAGGAGGAGGAGGAGGAGGAGGAGGACGCCCCTGCCGCCACTGGCGATCGCAGCCATGGGCCCCCGGGGTTCCATTGTGCTCTGCCTCGGCCCTCGGCGAGTCCAGCTGTGGCGAGGGCGGCTTCCCGGGCTTCCCCAACAGAGCGAGCGCTGGCTCGTTTGGCTGGCCCCGGGACCGTTAACAAACGCATGCGTCTTTGACGAGCTCCGTGCGCGCGCCGCCAACTGAGCGTGCTTCCGGGCCCCAGGGGCCGTTTACAAGGGATCTTTCTGGTCTTCCTCCTCCACCCCCTCTTCGTTTCTCGTGTCCACCTCCTTCCCCCTCTTCGTCTTTCCTTTTTTTCTTTCTCCCCCGCGACCTTCCGACATTTCAATCTCGAGGGATCCTCGATCCTCGATCGTTTCTCCATCCTCGATCCTCGATCGAACCTCCTGTTTTGACCCCGTGACCGAACCTCCATCCTCGATCTTCGATCATGCTCGATCCTCGATCCTCGCTCCCCGACCGAATTTCGATCTTCGATATTCTCCTCCTCCTCCTCTTCTTCCTGTCGCCAGTCCTCCTCCTTACCACCAGTGTCGTACTCATCCTCTTTCCGCTCCTCCTTTTCCTCATCGTCCTCGTCATCCTCGTCGTCACCGTCCTCGCCACGCTTTCATCATCTTCCTCATCGCCATTCTCCTCCTTATCCTTATCCTCGTCGTCGTCTTCCTGGCACCCCCCTCCTGGTTCTCATCCTCCTCGTCCTCATCACATCTGTGTCCTCGTCCTCGTCTTCGCTCTCATCCTCCACCGACTCATCATTTCTGCATCCTCCTCGTCGTGCTTGTCGTTGTCGCCGTCGTCGTCCTCTTCCTCCTCATTCGCATCATTCCTTTCCTCAGGGCCCTCCTTTTCCGCAGTCTACTCCGCGTCGCCCCCGTCACCCTCTATATCGCCCTGCCTCCGTCAGACCCTGGCCCTAGCCAGGGCGCGCTGTGCATCGACGCATACTTGCACCACCCTAGACGGCCCTTCAAATGTGTGCTTCGACACTCCTTCCCCTCCTTCCGCGCAGTCCGATATTGGAGACATTCGACAAGGAGCTGCTTGGGAATTTCTCGTCGATCGACCAATTGTTGCGCCACCGAGCCTTCTCGGCGATCTCCGACCGTAGCCCGCGGCTGATCACAGCGCACACACAAAAATAGGGAGCGAAAAAATAGAGCTAGAGAGAGAGAGAGACATATACATATACATATATATATATACAGAGAGAGAGAGAGAGAAACAAAGAGAGAGAGAGAGAGAGAGAGAGAGAGAGAGAGAGAGAGAGAGAGAGAGAGAAAAAAAAAAAAAGAGAGAAAGAGAGAAAGAGAGCAAGAGAGCAAGAGAGAAAGAGAGAAAGAGAGAAAGAGAGAAAGAGAGAAAGAGGAAGAGGAAGAGGAAGAGAAAGAGAAAGAGAAAGAGAAAGAGAAAGAGAAAGAGAAAGAGAAAGAGAAATAGAAAGAGAGAGAGAGAGAGAGAGAGAGAGAGAGAGAAAAAAAAAAGAAACACCTCCTGGACTCCTGGAGTCTCCGCCGCTGATTCGGCTCAAGGTCGTGGCCGGGTCGCTTCCCCGCCAGACCCCCCCCCCCCCAAGAACTCCGCGCGCGTCCGGCAGGCCCCCGGCGCAGGCGCGGGCCCCCAGCGCCGCCCGAGATGCAAGGATCTCGGAGCGATGCGATGGATGCCGAGCTTCGCCACTCGGCGGTGCAACATGTGATTCAGCACGTTATTCGCCCACACATGGGTGGAGACCCGATGACGAGGGAGCGATTGAAAGTCCTCCTCGCGCCTTTCCGGAAGGACAAGGTGACCCTAGCCGGGAAGGAGCTCTTTCTCTGGCACGCCTCGAAACCTGCTGCCTTTGGGACGACGAACGGAAAAGCCAATTTGATGCGCGCTGTACTGGCGCAGATTTCGGATACGGGCGCTGAGCATCGCGGCGTCGACACCCCGGCAGGCGACGATCCTGGAGTGGCTGAACCGGACGCCGTTGACTCGGAGGTCGCTTCGACTAGTGATTGTGAGAGCGTTTCGAGCAGCAGCAGCGAGTCCGTCGAGTCTATCGATATCGCCCCCGGCTTCTCACCAGTGGCTGCTCCGCCTCCGGGCCACGTTCATGTCGAGAAGGGGCGTTATAGGAGAGACGCAGACCGCTGCCCTCCAGAATTTGCGGCCCGCATCGACAGCATCGCCGGCGAGGTTGGCGTGCTCGACGCGGCCTTGTGGAGGTCTCTCATGTACTTATTCGTGCTCATGCTGGCTATGCAGCCGGTGTCACTGTTCACTGATGTCGTAGACGATGCGTCTTGCACGAGATCGTTGGCCAAGACAGTCTTCGACGCCGCTTCCCTCCTGCACCAGTACGTTGTCACGGAAGGGTTGCGCACGGGGCAACTGCCGCATTTTGATGCCGCTTTGCGAACGCGGTCCATGCAGGCGATTGGCATGTATTCTGAATTGTACGGCCCCGTTCCTGCGACGGGCCCGCAGCTCGCTGCTTGGACATTCTTTGATATGGTCTTCTGGTATATTGGGGAGTACACCATCATCCAGGATAACCTGCCCCCTGGCTCGTTTGCGGAGCAGACGCGACAATTAGTTCGCGAAGGTCTTTCGGTAGATAACGCCGCCTCCTTCGGTAAGAGCGCCAAGGGCCTCCTGGCGAGCGTCCTCGGCATGCGCTCAGACGTCGCAGCGACGAACAACATCGGCGACGGCCGAAAGCAGTGGGTGCGCGGCCGCAGGGCGGATTTTGTGGCCCCTAAACGCTATAGGCCAATCGACCATCTCCTGGAGGCGATGGCCGGGTGGGCACCCCCTTCTGCCATCGTTGGGCCTCTCTTGCATGAGATTCTGCGCGTGCTCCAGGCCGGCGGCGATGTGGACATGCGGATCGTGGAAGGGCAGTCCGAGCGGCTAATGCTACAGCTGCTGCGTTTCGAGCTACTGGGGCGGCCGACGCTACCCGACAATATCCCTTTCCACATGCGCATTTCGTGTACGCCATGAAGTTCCCCCTGTCCGATATGTTCTGCATGGCGCACGCTTGTTTGTGCTCCCGTGTCGAGAGGGGGGCGGACTTGCAGCCTCTGCCCAATATTGAGATTCGTTGCGGCTGCTTGCAGTGTTCGCGCGTGATGCACTTGCGCCAACGATGCATCTACTTCGGACCGTCTCCGCGGGCGCTGCACGCTAGCCTGCTCCGAGAAAAAGTCGGCCAGAAAATTGTGGAGGATCAAACGTGCGCCACCTGGAAACGCCTGCTATCCATGTTCAACACGGAGTTCTCTGTGTGCCTCTGCCTCTACATCCTGCAGATGCTCGGCTGCTCCTGGAGGCGATTCATCCGCTTGAGCGCGCGCGGCAAGCGACTGCCAGTGATCCGGTGGAGTGCGTTATGTCAGATATCCAGTCATCGCGACCTGCAGGTGTCCGCGTACAAAGCAGAGACACATTTGCTCCGCATTGCCTTCGGGTGGCTCGAAGAGTTTTCCGTCCTGCCACAATTCATGCAGCTGGTCGCGGCCCAGCGCCGGGCGTTCGTCCATCGCGTCGCCTGGTCGCCGAGGACGTCCCGCGATGACGTCGTCAAGGCGCTCCAGGCGGCCGCCGCCGAGGCGACCCCTGGCGCCTGCCGGCCTTTGCCAGCGGATTTTTTCAAGAGAGCCTTGGCAGAGCGGAAGCGCGAGAATGCCGACCGGAAGCGTTTGAAGGCGTCCGCGCGCTGATGGCCGGCGGCGAGACAGCCTGGGGTGGGCGGGAAGGCATTCCAAGCTGTTCCACAGCATTGCTTCGGATTGCTTGGCGCTGCTCGGCGTAGATGTGCGCCGGTGGTACTGCATGTTTACCCTTGCGCTGAACCCAACCATGGGCCGTGGTGAGTGCTGCAATTGTCACAATGGTCTGCTATGGAGCCTCCTATGGGCAAACGCTTGCGTGCGGGCGTTCCCGCCGGGGGTTTCGTGGGGCCCCCTCTTGTGTGACGCACCGCGAACTGAGAGTGCGGCGATTAGCGGGTGTCGCCCAGATGCGGGCCGCCCACACTTCCCTGCGGAGCCGCTGCCGCTTCTGGCGAGGATTCCCGGGGTGCCACGAAGCGATGGAAGGGTGTGCCGAAATGGTGTCTCGCGCACCTGCGGGCGGTGTTCCACTGCCTGAGAAGGGGCTTCCCACGCGGCCGCGACACGTGTTAGGGGTGTGCTGCAACGGCGGCGGTGATGACGACAGCAGCGGAGACGACGGCGATGATGACGATGATGGCCATGATGATGGCCATGGCCATAAGGATGACGATGGTGCTAATGACAGCGACGATGACGACGACGATGCCGACGACGAGGATGATAATGGACGGCGGGAGCGTGGAAGAGGAGGCGGAGGAGAGGACGCGGAGGAAATGGAGGAGGAGAAGGAGGAGAGGACAGGAGGACCGCGGGGGAGTATCTATTCTTAACGAAATCTCAACACCACAAGACAGCAGGGCACAGAACGGATGGTAGTTTGGGCACCTTGCGCGTGGAGTTCAAGTGCATGTGAATTTCGAATTCGCTGCCGCGGGGCAGGGTGACAACGAAAGCAAAGGAGGGGCGGAGGTGGGGCCGGAAGAAAGCGAGGAGGTCGAATAGGAGGAGGGAGCGTCAGGGAGCGTGGGAAAAATCATCACGATCATGTGCAGCTGTAGGAGGAGGAGGATGATCAGGAAAAGGAGAGGGACGAAGATGGCGGAGGAGAGTGGCTGGAGGAAGTTCTCGGCCAGGGCCAGACAACAAAACCGCATGTCGGAGCTGGATGTTTTGCAAATGATGTTTCTGGTTCAGGGGCTGACAGAGTATGCAAGCAGTGATGACAGCGGCTACGAAATAATATGGGGATTCCGTGGGTAGGCGGAAAGTGGCTGCAGGGACTCATGGGCAGGAGCAGGAGTTGGAGGAGGTTGAGGAGAGGACAAGGACGGGATCGTAAGGCGGGGGGTGAGTGGAGTGTTCTCGCGACCAGGGCCGGAGGAATATCGTCATCATTATTCGTGGGCAATTGTAGGTGCGCATTTTGAGACCTAAACTGGACGGGGACGGGCTCCGCCCTGGGAGGCGGAGGGTGGTGGGCAGGAGCTGACGGCCAGAGCAGACATGGCGCCCTGCGAACGTGGCGGAAGGTGTTCGGCGGAGGTTTTCGTCCGGGGCCGGGGGGGAAAGTCGGAAGTTCACTTTGGGCGCGTTTGTGTGTGAAGTCTAACTCTCGGGCCGAAGGAGGATGGAGGCAATGTGGCCACATGGGGGTGAGGAGGAGGAGGGATAGGAAGAAGAGGAAGAGGAGAAGGAGGAGGAGGAGGGGGAGGTTGAGGTTGAGGAGGAGGAAGGGGGCGTCGGAAGGGAGGGAGCACAGGAGGATGTGGGAAGGTCTCGTCCGGGGCCTGAGGAAAAAATCGGAAGTTAGTTTCGGTGATTTTTGCGTGTGGTGTTTGATTCCGGTGCCAGCGGGACTGGAGAAAAACGAAGCCAAGAGTGACGAGGTGGAAGACGCGACGGATGAGGAAGAGGAGGGGGAGGAGCACGATGAAGAGGAGGAGGAGATCGGAAGGGAGGGGGCAGAGGAGGATGATACAGGGACGAAGTCGGAGGGGGGAGGGTGGCTGGATCTAGTGATGGGCAGGAGGAGGGCAACGATGTATAAAGGTAGTCTTTTTTTTTGTTTTGAAGATCGAGGTCGCAGCTGGGAGGATGCAGGGATTGTGAAGACGAAGAGGTTGATGGACCATGAAGTGGAGGTGGAGGAGGAGGAGGACAGAATGGGGGCGGGTTCAGGCCGCAAGGAGGCTGGAAGGAGTTCTTGGCCAGGGCTGTGTGAAACGTTGTGAGTTTGTCGGAGGTGTTTCTATTTGCGACGTTCGAGTGCGGCGGGGGGTGGCTCGGGGAAGGTCTCGTCTGGGTCCGGAGGAAAAAGTCGGAAGTTAGCTTCGGAGGTTTTTGCGCGCGGCGTGTCACTCCGGCGCCGGAGGAGGCTGGGGAGAACGAAGCCTAGAGGAACGAGGTCGAAGAGGCGGAGGAGGAGGAGGAGGAGGAGGGCGAGGAGGAGGAGGAGGGGGAGGTTGAGGTTGAGGAGGAGGAAGGGGGCATCGGAAGGGAGGGAGCACAGGAGGATGTGGGAAGGTCTCGTCCGGGGCCTGAGGAAAAAGTCGGAAGTTAGCTTCGGTGATTTTTGCGTGTGGTGTTTGATTCCGGTGCCAGCGGGACTGGAGAAAACGAAGCCAAGAGTGACGAGGTGGAAGAGGCGACGGATGAGGAAGAGGAGGGGGAGGAGTACGATGAAGAGGAGGAGGAGATCGGAAGGGAGGGGACAGAGGGGGATGATACAGGGGCGAAGTCGGAGGGGGGAGGGTGGCTGGATCTAGTGATGGGCAGGAGGAGGGCAACGATGTATAAAGGTAGTCCTTTTTTTGTTTTGAAGATCGAGGTCGCGGCTGGAAGGATGCAGGGATTATGAAGACGAAGAGCATGATGGACCACGAAGTGGACGTGGAGGAGGAGGAGGACAGAATGGGGGCGGGTTCAGGCCGCAAGGAGGCTGGAAGAAGTTCTTGGCCAGGGCTGTGTGAAGCGCTGTGAGTTTGTCGGAGGTGTTTCTATTTGCGACGTTCGAGTGCGGCGGAGGGTGGCTCGGGGAAGGTCTCGTCTGGGTCCGGAGGAAAAAGTCGGAAGTTAGCTTCGGGGGTTTTTGCGCGTGGCGTGTCACTCCGGTGCCGGAGGAGGCTGGGGGGAACGAAGCCTAGAGGGACGAGGTCGAAGAGGCGGAGGAGGAGGAGGAGGAGGAGGGCATCGCAAGGTAGGGGGTAGAGGGGGATGATACGGAGACGAAGTCGGAAGGCGGAGGATGGCGGGGTGGAGAGATCGGCAGGAGGAGGGAGAGGGAGAGGAGGAGAATGAGGAGGAGGAGGAGGAGGAGGTGGAGGAGTGGGGGCGACGCCAGCAAAGACGGCATTGGAAGGGGAAGAGTTGGTGGAGGGGGCTCGTGGCCAATGCCCGCCTCGAGGGTCCGAGGTAGCGTTTGTTTTTTGTTTCTTGTGAAGATCGAGGTCGCGGCTGGAAGGATACAGGGAGTGCGAGGGCGAATATGTTCACGGAGGAGGAGGTGGAGGAGGAGGAGGAAGACAGAACGGGGGCAGGTTCGGGATGCGGAGGGAGGTTGGAAGGAGATCTCGGCCAGGGCTGCAGTGTAACGTTCTAAGTTGGTCGAAGGTGTTTTTACGTGCGAAGTTGAGCGTCGTGGAGGGTGGCTGGGGAAGTTCTCGGCCGGGGCAGGAGGAAAAAGTCGGAAGTTAGCTTCGGCGGTTTTTGGTTGTGGTGTTTGATTTCGGTGCCAGGGGGGGCTGCAGAGAACGAAGCCAAGAGAGACGAGGTGGAAGACGCGACGGAGGAGGAAGAGGAGGAGGAGGAGGAGGAGGACGCGTGGGCAGTGGACGATGACCCGGTGACGGAGTCGGAAGCAGAGCGCGGCGGAAGGAGGAGGTCGCGGAGGAAGGGGGCAGAACGTGGACGGGGTCGGAAGGCGGAGGGTAGGTGGAGGGGAACTCGTGGCCATTGCCAGAGGAGAAGGTCCAAGGTTACTTGTGGGCGCTTTAGTTTTTGATGTTTGCGGTCGGAGCTGGAGGGGTAGAGGGGTTATGAAGGGAACGGAAGGCCCGTGTACTGGTGCTCTCGGGTGAGGTTTTCCCGGGACGCTGCATTGCCTTGTTGCGCTCGGCAGTGCATCTCTTCTGCTGGCTGGAGCACTGCATGATGAATTTGTCAACTTCGTCGTCTTGTTGCAGAGCCTCGGGTGCCGGAGCTCCCAGACTTCGCAAAACAAATAAGTTCGTACCTTCCTTTCTCGGCGCTGCCAATGGAGGGCTCTCCGTCGATCCTGAGTTCGATTCCCCTCACATCATAATGTGATGTGGGTCCCGAGATCGCTTCTCAACAATCTGTGTGGTACTGGTCCAGTGCTCTGGGAAATTCTTGACGCTTCGCGTAACCCCACAAGGCAATCCAATAAAGGTGCCCAGGAGACCTGACGGTAGACAGGAGGAAGAGACGCACATGGCACATCGTGGAACAGCGCGGGCAACAACAGTGAATTGGGAGCTCTCTGGTAGCGAAGGGTGCGGGTGCTGCTGCTGGTGCTGTTGCTCCCGATGGGCGGCTGCTGCTGGTGTTGCTGGTTCTTGTGCTGCTGGTGCTGCTGGTGCTGCCGCTGGTGCTGCTGGTGGTGAAGTTGTAGCCACTGCTGCTGGTGCTACTGCTGGTGCTATTGTTGGTGGTGGTGGTGCTGTTGCCGGTGCTGCTGCTGGTGGTGCTGTTGGTGTTGCTGGTTATCGTGCTGCTGGTGCTGCTGCTGGTGCCACTCGTGCTGGTGCTGCTGGTGTTGCTGCTGCGGGTGCTGTTGCTGGTGCGGTTGCTGGTGCTGGTGGTCGTGCTATTGCTGGTGCTTTCGCTGGTGGTTGTGGTGCTGCTATTGGTGCCCCTGCTGGTGGCGACGAGGATAGCGAAAGCATCCACAGGGGGGGGCCACCGACATCCACAGGTGGGGTGGATGCATAATTATCTTGGCCCGTCTTGGAAACACCTTCCGCCGTCTGGGTCCTGCTGGCTCGTTCTGGTGCTGCTGCTGGTGTTGCTGAGTGCTGCTGACTGTGTTGGTGCCGGGGGCTCCTTCGGGGTCCTGCTGGGGCCTTTTCAATGCCTTTTTAGAATGT